TAGGAGATCCGTCCCATGATACTAGATGCCTGGTGAACCCAAACGCGCCCATCCCACAGTTCCTACTAGCCATGTCTGCAAGTTATGCACTAGCACTCACTCAACTTTCCACCTCATTACCGCCTCCACGCCGAGAGGTTGCGTCGATGGATCTCGGCATCCAAAGCAGCAAACGATACTGTGCGCACATCACCGGTTACGTGGAGGAGTGATGGCGCATCGTCTTGCTGTTGGTCCTCCTGAGTGGAGGCGACAACCTCATTGGCGAATACGAAAAACCGACCCAAGTCGGCGAGACCACTGCCTTGGGTGGGCAAATCCGTTTGATGCGTGCTGTTTCCAGCAACTGCGAAGAGTGGTGGAAAGACAGCGTGGGCGTCGATATACGTCGCGAATGCTGGTACGTCGACAGCATCGGAACCGTCCTCAGAGTTCCTCTCTGTCGACTCAACGTACACAGCGCCCGGATAACCCATGTGGTCGGACACCGTCGTTGGGATCGTCGACGGCGCGGGCGGCGATGGTGGTGTTGGAGGCGCCGGCGACAGTGGCGACAGCGGACGCGTCGTCGTCGATTCTGGGGTTCGCGTTCCCTGTTCACGCTCGCTGGAACCTGCGTTCAGATTTGGGTTTGGCGATTCCGAACCCGACGCATCCTCGGTATATCGATCGAAAAACCTCTCACCTGAAATTCATTCGTAAATTGCGTGCCTGCATTTGCAAATTTGACCAAGTAGGAAGTTATCACGCTACCTCGATATCTATGCTGAGCCGTGTGTCAACCACCTGAACACACACTGCTGCAGCTAAAAAGAGGGCAGTAGTTTGGAGACCACTAACCCTTCTCAACGACTAGCATAGAGAAATCTAGCAGTTAGTTTGCATCTTGTGAGGTACAATGTGGATCTGAGAAATCCGCATATACAAAATAAACTGCCCAAGTGTGCTTGGAGAAGAAATAGCAATGTGCAGACAACCTAACTACTCAGATCCAATCGACACGAGCTGAAGTGGCCAAGTTACTGCAGAGCTTACCGTTGTTACTGTTCATGGCGTCCTCGCAGTCAACTGATTGTCACGGTGGTGCTGGGTCCCATCTCGTGGTCACCACCTCTCAATCCCCATTGGTCCATGGCCTCCTCGTCGAACCAGCGCTCACTCGGTTCGATGCGTGCTCGCGCGAGCATGCGTGTGTGTGTGCCTGCGTGCGCACTCACCACCATCGCACCACACCCCCACGAATCCGCGAGGTCACGCGTCGTCGGCCGCTGAGGTGTGGAGCCTCCGTGGGCACACACACATGCGGTGTTGACTAAAACCAAACAAATTCCTAATCTACGTCTCCTTATGAATCGAAGAGTTCTAAGCACTGCCCTACTCGGAGTGTGCATGTGTGTGTGTGTGTATGTATGTGTACGCGAGCAACGGATGCCGGTAGCACATGGCTTAACGTGTGTGAGATTTTAAAACACCCTGCTGTCTTAGCATGCGAATTTGCTTACGGTTTCAAGGCCCTCAGGTGTTTGTGATACCGTGAACAATGGTTTCGTGCTTCATTCAATTGTGATAATTACCTGAATAGAGTTTCTAAGAGGTCAGTTCCAAATTGCTCCAATGGGGACTACAAATTACTACGCGTGTTAAGGCATTTAGACAACAGGCCTCGATTTGAATACCCAGCCAGCCAGACAGATACCACTCCTCCCACTTCTCCATGTCTTCAAGTGCTAGCACGACTTACCCTTTCCGGCCTGGCACCTGGGAAGGCCAAACGGTGGCTGTGGGGTGTCCAGGTCAAACCGCCTGCTTGACGCATTCATTTGTGGCAGTCAGTCTGGCGCCTTGTCCGCGTTCATTGAGTCCAAGTTCATAGGCAGTGCATCAAAAGTCAGTGAAAAGTCATTTAAGTGATGGCTTACATAGTCCACTTTTGACTGCACATTTTCGCTGAATACGGCATGTCCAATTGTAGTTCGTCCAGCACAATGCCACTTAGCACTGCTGCCTTCTAGTCAAATCTCAAATTTGTTATCGCACACTACACCGACGACGCATCTAGATCAGACTGACCATACGCGAATATGGGCGCAGGTTCCAGCCATCGTCGACATGGGAAGCCACATCCACCAACGACGGTGTCCGACAACATTGGTTATCCGGGCGCTGAATGCGCCGAGTCGACACAGAGGAACTCTGAGGACGGTTCCGATGCTGTCGACGTACCAGCATTCGCGACGTACATCGACGCCCATGCATTCTTTCCACCGCTGTTCGGAGCTGCTGGAAACAGCATGCATCAAACGGAGTCGCCCACCCAAGGCAATGGTCTCGCCGCGTTGGGTCGGTTTTCCGTATTCGCCAATGAGGTTGTCGCCTCCACTCAGGAGGACCAACAGCAAGACGATGCGCCATCACTCCTCCACGTAACCGGTGATGTGCGCACAGTATCGTTTGCTGCTTTGGATGCCGAGATCCATCGACGCAACCTCTCGGCGTGGAGGCGGTAATGAGGTGGAAAGTTGAGTGAGTGCTAGTGCATAACTTGCAGACATGGCTAGTAGGAACTGTGGGATGGGCGCGTCTGGGTTCACCAGGCATCTAGCATCATTGGGCTGATCTACTGGGTGTTGAGAGCAGAAACGACAGTAGCAGCTGCAGCAGCAGCGAATGTTGCGTGAATGGGACTCGGCATATCTTTGTAGT